AAAATAAAATCAAATCAAATGTCATAGAAAAAACCAATGATATAGATAGGTTTTTCGTAAAATACAAATTAGAAGGTTCAATTGAAAGATATAAAGTTATGTTGGCTACTAATGGCTAAACTCAAACAAATAATATTTGTAAAACACATGACTTCAGAAGTCCTTAGTACCAAGAGTTTATGTTGACAACATCATCAAGATGGTTAGTGACATGGAATGAATGAAGAACTTAAAGAATAATTTGCTCTAAGAATATGAAGTCAATGAATGAGTCAATCAAAGTTTTTTCTTGGAATTAAGGTTGCACACTCTTGTCGTGAAATATTTATATCACAACAAAAATATAGAGCAAACAGATTGAAAGACATGAGTATGTTGAGATGAAAGCCTATTGAAAACCCCATGAAATTCAATTACAAACATGGAGATACTCTAGAATACACAACAATATAAAAATTCCCCAATAAAAAACAATTACAAAGACTTATCTACTTCTCAAATCTAGACCCAACACTGCCTACATTGTTAGTGTTGTAATTCAATTCACGCACAATCCTAAATAAATACCTTAAGGAAATATCTAAAATTATATAATATTTGAAGAGAACCTAGAGAAAAGAAATTCTATCAAAAATGATTGAAGACCAAATTGAAAACATAAACATATGTAGACTATGTAGGTTCTAAACTTGAAAGAAAACAAATTAAAGATATTCCACAACATTTATAGAAGGCAACCACATGAATTGGAATTGGAGAAGTAAAAAATAAAAAATAAAACATGATAGTATAATCTTACGCAAAAACCAAGTTTAGATATATATTATTAAGAATATGTGAATTCTTATAGCTAAAACTTATCTTTATAAATTTGCAACTTGAATGGAGAGGTTCTATGAGGCTCTAATGCAATAAAAAGCCAGCCATCAATATTGCACATAATTTTGTCAACATGATCGCACAACATAGATTGATATTGATGATATCTAATAAAGGAAAAGCTAGACAATGATATAATATATACTCTATTTATAATCATATATGAACAATTTGCAGATATTTTCATCAAACAAGTACTTGGGATAGTCTATCAAAAGTTATCAAGCAATATAGGAATGTATAACATCAATTCATTTGCTTGAGAGGGAGTGTGAAACACTCTATACCTGCACTTCCAACCCCGAAACCACACTAGCACCTCACCAATCATCGCTATCTCAAACTCTTCCACCCAAATGTCTGACCCAAACAAGTTTTCGCCCAATTAGGCCTACCCCATAGATGATCCACCGCCTCAATCAAGATCAATATGTGACATCATCAATCTATAGGATATCCCTCTCACCATCGATTGGACCTTACACAGTGAATCTTATTACAATTATTTACAGAATATTGCATCCCTGATTTCCTCTATTTTCATGCATTTCAATCAGAGCACACGAACATCAAAAGAAGGACACGTGTAATCACATATTTATATTCTTGTTTATCTATTGCTGAACAACACGTGTACCTCATATTAATTATCTATTTATAGAGATGTACCCTAAACATTAATGAAACCACAGTTCACTTTCTTCTATTCATTTTCCTGTGTTCTTCTTTGTTCCGTGCGTGAAGACAAGAACAGCTCCCGGGCTGTCCGCTTGCTCCGTTTCTACATGGTATAAGAGCAGATCGCTTCTCCAACCTCTTCCAATGGCGTCGACGGCAACCTCTCACGTTGAAGATCAACTCGAACGAGAGGCAACCGACATAGTATTTCTTCCTCCCTGAATTTTCTTGTATCCAATCTGAAAAATTTTGTTCCTACTCAGCTATCTTCCGATAACTACTCCCTTTGGAGATCCCAGATCATCAAGCTTTTAAGAACAAATGATTTTATCAAATTTCTTGATCCTTCTATACCTCCACCGACCAAAAATCTCCAAACCTCGGCAAGATCCACCACACAAAACACCGCCTAATGCCACTGGCTGCTCACGGACCAAAATTTGGCTGTTGCCCTTTGCTCCACCATCTCCAATTCCATCCTTCCTTACATCCTAAATCTTGATTCTACCTCAACTATTTAGACCTCTCTTGAAACTAGGCTCCAATCAACAAATCGTTCAAGGGTTATTAAACTCAAGAAAAAATTGCACAATATCTCCATGAAAAACTCCTCGATGTCACAATACCTATCAGAAATAAAAACCCTTGTTGATCAGATTTCACCCGTCGGATCTCTCGTCGGCATAGAAGATATCATCATTTACATTTTGAATGGCTTCCCTCCCTCATACCAATCATTTAAAACATCAATTTTTACAATGCTCAATCCAATTAGCTTGGATAATCTTTATTCATTGTTCTTAAGTGATGAAATAAATATTGCTATGGATGCATCTCACACTTTAAATGGATCCAACCCCAATCTCTCTCTCTACTCTTCTCGCGGACGGGATCGTCATGTTCCTCAGAACAATTTGTCTACCCCAAGACCGTCTTCTACAATTGTTATATCATGCCAAATTTGCCTCAAGAAAGGGCATTCTGCAAGTGAATGTTGTCATCGATCGAATCTACAATACACTCCTCAACAGCGCAACAATACCAATCGTGTTCTTGCGGCTGCCACTAAACATACAAACAATGACTGGCTCTTGGATTCCGACGCCTCATCGCACATCACCAACTCACTCGACAGAATATCTTTATCAAATTCATATCAAGGATCGGACTCGATCACTACTGGTGATGGCCGCTCAGTTCCAATTGTTCATACCAGTGAGGGCATCTTGCCCACACCGAATCGTAAGCTTTATCTAATAAAACTTCTACACATACTATCTATTCATTATAATCTTCTTTCTATTTCAAGATTGACTAAAGATAACAATATTTATATTGTGTTTGACCCTTTTGGTTTTCAATTTAAGGATCTGAAGACTCATCAAACACTACTCGGTGGCCCATGCCGTGAGGGTTTATACCCCATACAAGGTTCATGCAGCAGCACAAATTCCACAGCCCTCTCGGCAACCATTCACTCGGCTTGATCTGGCACAACCGCTTGGGCTACCCTCACAAGAAAGTTCTTCATCTGATTTCTAATTCCAACCCTATCCTCAAAATGCCTAGCTTCTTATCTGTTTGTTCTTCATGTAAAATTTCAAAAGGTCATAAACTTGTCTTTGAAACATCTACAAATAGGCAAAATAAACAACTCGCATTAATTCACTCCGATGTTTGGGGTCCCTCGTCAGTCAAATCTGTGCAATAATATTTGTATAACGTCATATTTGTAGATGACTTTTCTCGCTACACGTTGCTTTTTCCATTAGTGCATAAATCTGATGTTACGAACATTTTCATATCATTCAAAAATAAAATTGAAAAACAATTCTCTTCTACAATCAAATGCTTGCGTATTTGAAAAATTTTAGAGTAAAAAAAAATGCTTGCGTACAGATGGCAGCACAAAATTTTTAAATCATAATCTTTGTAATTTTTTTACAACAAAATGGCATTCACCATAAGATTTCTTGCCCCTACACGCCAGAACAAAACGGGCTCGCTGAACGTAAACATCGACATATCACTAACACAATGCAAACTCTTATTGATACTGCTTCCGTTCTTCATCACCACTGGCCCGAAGCAGCCCTAACTGCTATTTATCTTATTAATAGAATGTCATCCAAAACTACACTTCAAATCGCTCCCATTCAACTTCTTTATAGTAAACCTCCGTCCTACTCACCTTCGTGTCTTCGGGTGCGAGTGTTTTCCCCTATCTCCTCCACATAGTCATCACAAACTCCAATCCAAGGCAAATTCATGTGTTTTCTTGGGCTACTCTGATATTTACAAAGGATATAAATGCTTAGATCGTGTCACCAATAGGATAACGTTCTCTCGAAACATTACCTTTAACAAATAGTTTTTCCCCTTTCAAAACATTCAACCACCTTTCATATCAAATTCTCAAAATACTCCACCCAATCTTCTCATTCCTACTTCTTTAATTTCCTCCACTCCTGCTCCTATCACTCTACTCGATCAATCTCAAAATTCCACTAACTCTATCACGGTATCCTCTTCACATCACACTGAAGCCACCCACGCTACTGATCATTCGAATGCTCTATTTATAGAGATGTACCCTTAACATTAATGAAACAACAATTCACTTTCTTCTATTCATTTTCCTGTGTTCTGCTCTGTTCCGTGCATGAAGACAAGAACAACTCACGGGCTGTCCGCTTGCTCTATGTCTACCATTTCCAACTAGACTATTCCTAGAATTTTTATAAATTAAATATACATTGTGGAATAAACAACACAACTAATTCTCCAAGTCTTGTAAGAAATTGTTGAGATTGAGAATATCACAAAGATTAACAGAATGAGAACAATGAGAATTAAGAATGGTTTGATGTACAATTTAACATGGATGGAATGCCACTAGTTCCTAACCAATTTGCATCAACAGGAATCATCTTTCCACCAAATTGAGTTTAAGAAATGAAATATCTATAAAAATAAAAAAATTATGCATGTCAAAGTGGCACCTCCACTAGAGGTATTGCTGCTTGTTGTGCCCTAATGTGCTTGACTTGACTATGACATGAAAACGGTAGCTCTCTAGAAATTTCTAAACTTCCTAAACAGCAATTTTATTTGTTAAAACAAAAACAGAAAGAGCACTTCTATAGCACTACTCATAAATTTAAATTGAAATGCAGCAATTTATTTATATTATAAATTTTCAAAACCACCATGCATTAGTAACAGAAGAATGACGATAAACATCCAAAAAATAAAGTCAAACCACATCATTTTAAACTGCCGAACCAGTGGATTTTTTTTTTTCTGAGACGGCAATTTAAATGACAAAATAGCACGTCAACGTGGCGTTAAAATATTCAAATGCAAGTAAACTAGATAAAATAATTCCTACCAAGAATTCATAGCCAACAGTCATTCAGAAGTATTAAGTATAAAACCGTGACCTGTGCCAAGTAAAACCAGAGACTCTGTGCAACCTGGAACATTCAAATCCTTTGGGAATTTCACTTTGGTGCCTGGCTCAATTACATACTCCAAGCTCTCAACTACAACAAATTAAAGCGACGTCAGCTACACAAAATCACCGCATTTTCAAACCAACGAGCCTGACACATATTCAAGCTTCCTATTCTTGAGTTCAAAGGTGATCCAAAACCATACGGTATAATTCAGCCCGGAAACTGGAGAAATAATTGATGCAAATGGATCATTCGAAGAGAAATTTAGGATAGGTGAAACAAGGTATTGCAGCATCTGCACCTGAAGCCTTGGGAGGAAGAGGGTGCCGAAACTTGGTCGGATTGCAGCTAAGAAAGGGGAGAGACAATCTGCGAAGGTTTGAAGAGAAATTGGGCGACAATTTCACCAGAGGACTGCCACTGTGATTTGGTATGTTGGCGAATCTCAACTGAAGCGCCCAGCTTGACGCATAAGAAACAGCGGCGGCCATTAGTGGCAGGTGTTCCCGAATTACAGAAAAGCTTTATGTAATTCCAGTTTGCAAAGCAAGGCAAGTTCTAGAGGGTGGTATCGAGGTTTAGTTAGTGGGGGTGCCCTCGTTTCAAAACAGTGTAAAGCAAGCACAAGTTGTCGGGGTATTTATGTACATTCCAATTTTTTATGGATGTCAACAAAAATTTTTTGTTGTTGTTATTTATATATATATATATATATATATATATATCATTAGTTAGTGGGGGTGCCCTCGTTTCAAAACAGTGTAAAGCAAGCACAAGTTGTCGGGGTATTTATGTACATTCCAATTTTTTATGGATGTCAACAAAAATTTTTTGTTGTTGTTATTTATATATATATATATATATATATATATCAATTTATATCCCACGTAGGCCTTAATTCAGGTTGAAATTGATATTACTTGAGCTAGACACGGCACATTAACTTTAATTTGAGATAAAAAATATATATGATCTTGATTGATTTTTATTCATAATTCTATAATGAATTCTTAGTCCACAAAAAAAAATTCCTACTATTTTATAATATAAATTTATAACTGTTTATTTAAATTAATTTAAACCAGGATACATATAATATTTTTACATATATATTTTAATCCAATTTTGAGCTAATTCAATTCTGTATACTCATATATGTGCATTATGGTGTTTCATAGGTTCCTAACAAGATATAGCAAAGGGAACACAAACAAAGCAATCACATTGCTCGCATAAAACACTCACCAAAAGGGAATATGCCTCATCCAAATCAATCAATTCAAGGAGTCTCCCCAAACATATATATCAAAGAACTCGTAAGGATTCTTCCATACACAAGAATGAAGCTTGTCTTAACGGAGACCACCCTCCTCAGACCACTATAAGGAGAGCACACCTTAGTGGTCCACAATTGTGACACCATAAACCAAAGCAATCCTCATCGTACAATTATCATCACCTCAAGGGCATAGAGGTATTAGTTCAGCCAACATGGATTTGCCTCTGCGCCCAAGGAACCCCACCACACAAACTTGTCTAACATGACTTATTTAGAGGATTTACCCAATACACTCACCTATAAAGATTAGCCCAATGAACTTACCCTAAAACTGAAAATCAAAATAAAGACATTCTTACAACCTAACTAGAAATAACACACAAATAGAATGGGTCATACCATGTTGGATCATGAAAGGATATAAATTCCAAGGTCTAATTGGAGAAAATTATAGAAAGTCCAAATAATTTAAAACTACAAAACCCCTAAAACTTCAAGTGAAAATACAAATTTCATCATCAAAATTCACTTTCATTCATCTCAGAAATATTTAGAATCAAAATTGTTATATACAAATAGTAGATAACACAAACTATACATAATATAAAGAAAAAAGTTATGATTCTAAAAAAAAATCTATTCAACATACTTATACATACTTTGACTCAAATTGTGCAACATTTATCTACTTAGCCTACCATCTTGACCTGAAATAGATGTAGAAAGCAGGCATAAGCAAACATTACTCTGCATGATATATTTAACCTACCCACATTTTTAATTATTATTGGTACTAATAATAAAGCAAAGATAATAAGCTAAAGTAAATTCATTTGTATAAGTTCCAACCAGATTGCTCAGAATAATAAAAATCTACATAATAGTAAATATAACCTTTAACGCACCAATCATACGAAGTAGAATAGTATAGAAGCAAAATACTAGCAAAAAATATGAAAATGGAACAATAAGCTCTTCTTACTCATTTCTCAAAATACAACATTTCCCTCATGTCCTTATACTTCCCAACAAATATCATAATTCAGAATTAAAGTCCTTATCACTCCTTATACTAACATATCAAATAATAGACCCTCATAAATTCCAATGCATAATAACATAGATATTTAGATAATTCAGGCCCTTATAACTCCCAACAAACATTATATTAGGATCTTCATCAGTCATTTGAGCTTCTCAATATTCACACCTTTTAAGAATATAAATACAAAAAAAATACATTTTTAGAATAACACAAAATCCCAGAATTTTTTACTAGATTCCATATAACGTCTTATTATTAGTCAAATTATTATAATTTTTTGGGAAAGTCACACAAAAAGTAGAACATTACTCATACCTGCATTTCAAAGCTCTATCGTATTACAACACTATTTTTAGGTGCCATAAATTTTTTTTTTCAAATCATTAAAAAGATATATTTCCAAAAAGAATTTGTAAAAATCCCACTTTAAACCTCACAAAATACAAATTTCCCTAAACTCTCTTCAAATTTCAAGTCGCCATATGTAATCCCGTAGAATCCTTCTGTGGGCTAGCATGTGTTATAAAATTTAATTCTTTTCTAGCACATATCTAATCTCTTTATCCCGCCGGTATGTGTTGGGTGATAATTTCTACCACTCAACATGCGTTGTAGGGTTTAGATTCTCTTATGAGCCTTAATCTCCTAAATTTTTGTTTTTCCTTTCAAAGAAATCTAATTCCAACCTTCTCTTTAACTTTTAGAAAATTTCAATGGCCAATAAATTGATCTTCTTTTTCGATCGAGTGCTGTACTCAATAGTTAATGATCAAGAAAGTACTGTAATCATTGGGATGGGATTCAATACCCTTGAGTTTTTTATGGACGGACACCAGATAGTTAGTTTGGATGCTAGTAAGGATGTTCCCAAAGTTCTTAAGTTGATTATGAGATCTGCACCCACCTTACTAGTAGATAATGATGAACAGAAACAGTCTGAACTAGTTGTTGAGGTGCCCACTAAAGTTATGTCTATTTTAGAGGAAGGGTCTAGTTCCGAACTTACATTTGCTACTAAGAACCAGAGAAAGAACTGACTGAGGAGACTTAGGAAGAAATCTCCAAGCCTAAGAGAGTCAGGCCTTTTAAGACTTTAGCCCGAGTAGAGCCTGAGGCTACTGAGGAGCTGCTTATTCCTGCTTCCTCTCCCCTCCTTAAGGAGAGTCACTTTTACCCTCTTACTTCTGCTCAGGGGGAGGAGAGGGAAGTTAGGATAGCCCATTCCCCACCATGCCCGATTGACTATTCAATCAAGAGGACTCTAAAAGAAAAGCACCTTCAAATGACAAGGACATTAAGGAATATAATCCACACCTATACTGCACAGTTAGGGAAAACCAAAGAGGAGTATGTGAAACGGTTGAAGGGAGTGATCTCTCATCGCTTCCAAAATAAGGTTTTGAAGGAAAAAGTGTGTGAGGTGAAAAATCTGACCCCTCAATCTGTTAGGACGAATAAGAAGTTGTCAAACAACCTGTCACTTCAGTACTAGTTGATGGGTATCATTGGGTGTCATGCCTTCCATCCTCTAAAACGGAAGGTATTGTGTTGACTGGGTCCGAGAGAGGCCACCATTCTGCTAGTAGACTCCTAGTACCCCCTCTTAGACCTATAAAAGTTGGCCTCAGGGATTGTAAAGCCAAGGGAGACTGAGATTCGAAGACCTGCGGATGTTAAGGGCAAGAGGCCTCAGTCGCCTAAAAAGAAATTTGTGCCTAAAAGAATTAAGTTTGAAATCTTGTTACCACATCCTAGAACTTATAAGTTCATTCTTCAACTCCAACGAGTTCCAGCCAATCCTCTTCTAGTTCCAGTTGATCTAACAGATGTTCATGTCAGTATTATAGGTATCATAGTTGACAGTGCTCCCACCACCAGTTTAGCTCATGATCCAGTCGTCACCCCCACTGTTACCCTAGTTGATGATCCCCAAGATCTATGTGTCGTTCTTAGGCTCCCTAGTCCGGGGTCTGAGGACCTTACCTTGCCAAATGTAGGAGCTATCACCTTACAAGCTCCTGCTTCGCCCCCTGAGGTATGTGTCCCTCACCCCATAGAGGATGCCGCTCTTCTGACTACCAGTTTTGGTATAGTCGAAGAGGAGAGAATTGACCAGGATTTGGAGATGGAAGATGAACCAGTTTCAAAGCCTCAGTCAGATCCTAATCCAAGGCTCACAGAAATAATTTCCAAATTAGACTTTGATGAACTTTTTGATATGGCTGAACATAAAGGGTACTTTCCCCTTAATCCCAAGTCAATCAGGGATAGATTGGTCGAGGAGGTAGTACAGGAAATAAGAAATATTTTGTTAAATAAAGAAGGGATGGCCACTTTTGACCCAGACCTGGACGACCTCCTTGAGGAAGAGGACGATTATGTTGGTGGAATTTGTATGGTTGAAACCAGGGGGTATAATAAAGGAGTTGAGCCTAGCAAGCATCGATCTTCTAGAGATGATGATTCACCAGTCGTTGAGTCAGATTCAGATGAGTTCATAAAAGCTAGAGATTACAAACACATAAAAAACTTGGAGACTCATCTTGAAAGCATGTTGTTACAGATTAGAGAAATGCAAGAAATATTGGACAAATTACAGTAAGAATCCCTTAAGATTCAGCAGTCGGCTCAAGAGATTGCAGAAAGGGCTAAAAATGCAGAATCTAGCTCTAAGTCCCCTGAGTCAGCACCAGTGATCCCTCCCTGTCCACCAAAACTACTTCCAGTAGTGCCAACAATTCCCACTGTCCCTCCTACTCTACCTCAGAAAGATATCAAACAATTGATTAAGGACCAGGTAAGGGAGGCCTTAGCTCTTTCACAAGGAACCACGTCTATTCCAAAGGGTAGACCTTACCCTAAACAATATGAGTCAGTTCCTTATCCAAAGGGCTTTGTGCCACCATCATTTAAAATTTTTACCGATGTTGAAAACCTGAGATATCATTTGGCCCATTTCCAGGCAAGCTGTTGCAACATAGGAGGGTTGAATGCTCTACTCTTTTGCCAGTTTGTGAGTAGTTTGTCCAGCAATACTTTTGAGTGGTACGCCGATCTGCCCAACGGTTCAGTGAAAACCTTTAGCGATCTAGAAAACCTCTTCTTAAAGAGGTTTTTTGGAGCGTAACATCGTGTTACTTTGGGCGAACTTATTGTTGAAAAGCAAAAGCCGGGGGAGTCTCTGGTTGAGTACATCTTGAGGTGGCAAAACCTCTTGATGAAGTGTGAACTCCAGTTGTTGCCGTGGAGATTCTTCTAAAGAATATCCTTGG